TCTCTCCCTTTCTCACGTGTGTCTGTGGGACTGAGGATAGTAGGTCATGCTCTCTCCCTTTCTCACGTGTGTCTGTGGGACTGAGGATAGTAGGTCATGCTCTCTCCCTTTCTCACGTGTGCCTGTGGGACTGAGGATAGTAGGTCATGCTCTCTCCCTTTCTCACGTGTGGCTATGGGACTAATGATGGTATGTCGTGCTCTTTCCTTTCTCACGCGTGGCTGTGGGACTGACGATAGTAGGTCATGCTCTCTCCCTTTCTCACGTGTGTCTGTGGGACTGACGATAGTAGGCCATGCTTCCTCCCTTTCTCACGCGTGGCTGTGACAGGGTAAAGTGCTAGCTCCTGAGGGCGTCTTTGGAATGAAATGAACCAACTTCTCTCTCTCTGGTACTGCTCTTGGGAGAATGAAGAAAATGGTCACTCAGATCGTTTCCTGTGGGGTGTGACTCTGATGAGACTGAGACTGTATACACACATCATGTATCGCACATACACACCACACACCAGGTGTGCTAATTACACACACATTCTTAATTCTACATGCTGGTGTGCATATTTAATAGAGTAAGGGAGAAGGAGCCATTTTTCATATCACTATTAGTGTGGTCGTAGTTTTGAGAGCTAAAGGAAGTGTATTTTAGATTTTAAAGAATAAAATGGAAGTGTACAGAGAGTAGATGAATGACAAACTCAGGACAGTGTGTGGGTCTGGTATGAACTAAATATGAACTGTGTTGTTTGCTTTCTTTGCTTTTTTTTTTTTTTTTTTTTGGAGAGGTTTTTGCTATAGGGCACGTGCGCTTGCCAGAAAGACAGAGAGACAGAAAGCAAGAAATCACCCTCAGGGAAGATGGCCACACCACAATTCCTTCTCCTCCATTCTCCTCTTGAGATCTTGGGCACTCACGCACACATGCCTGACGTGAATTTAAACCACCCGGACCAGGACTCGAACTGCAGTTGACTACATGAGTCCAGTGTCTTAGCCATTACACCAACTGCTGGTCCCTAACAGTGTTGCTTTCAATCAGCTTCAAACTCTGTGACTACACAGAGGACTAGAACTTCGATTGGCTCGTCGGCTGAGCTGAGAGTTGTCCACGAAAAGGGACATAATCACCGGGTAGCACCTGCCTGAATGCAAGCTGGAGATCAGTCGTCCTGTTCACCCCCCCACCCATGACAAGGACACTGGGTGGCTACCAATGAAGAGTGTGGCTTTGATGACACAGTTGGGGTGTCAGTAGCTTTACAGGCCCTTGAGGAGGCCAGGGGTGAGGGCTTCAGTGACGAGGCTGGGAGAAGACAAGAGTGGAGGTCTCTGGCTGGCTGTGGAGTTGTGAACGACTAAATCCACCACCTGCTCCACTGGCCCAAACACTCCTAAGAAGTCACATGAAAAACACCCATCAAACAATGTTTTATAGACACTAGAAGCGAATCCTTTAGTACTGGACTCTGGCGTAGATTTTTAGATGATGTGAGGACTTCTTGTTATAGAATATTTAGGAACACGTGTGCCAACCCGACTAGCAGATTTCCCTCTACATTTAGAAATGCCACGGTTTGAATTTGAAAGAAATTTCAAGTGTCTTCATTAGAAAAACAATCCCTCATTTTCATTCGCCAGAGTACCCTTTCCAACGCTTTCAAAGCTGCTGGAAGGTGATTTTCTGTGACCTGCGTTACTGTTCAAATCCAATTTACTTCTGCCACCTGTTATTTTCCTCCCTAGATTTTTTAGAAGTCATTTTTGGACCATTTGCGGGTGCTACAACAGGAAGCTCACTTTCTGCGGTGCAATCGACCTTGGTGTGACAGGTCGGCGCATGCACAAGTGCCGCTGTGAGCCGGTGGCCTTGATGTTTACTCTTCAGGGAAACCGGTTCCGCCTGAGCCCGCGAGGTCCACCTGCTTGTGCAGGGACAGACCCTCAGTGACTGTGACCGTGCTGACAACACGCCTCTGAAGTGACAAGCATCAGGAGAATGGGAAATGTGCTGTTAGGTTGTCTAATGTTCTTTTAGGGCCATTTTAGGCTAATTTAATAAATATAAATTATTTTTGAAAAATCTCTTGTGACAAAACTTTTTTTTTTCGGTTTTTGCCATAAAGCGTGTGTGCTAACTGGAGACAGAGAGAGAGAGTGAAAGAGAAAGTGAAAATTACCCCCCAGGTGGGAATGGACACACTGCAATCCCTGTCCCTCCATTCTCCTCTGGTGATTTTGACATTGCACACACACACACACACACACACACACACACACACATACACACACATGCACGGTATGATTTTTAAGCAACTGGGTCTGGGCCTCACACTGTGGTCAGCCGCGTGGGAGTCCAGCACTGTAACGGCCATGCCACCTGCTGGCCCTGACAAACTAACGTTGTAATTAAGTCTTTCTGAACGCTTCGAGAACTGTGTTAGTGGCTGATTTTCTCTTGCATGAAGCACAATATTTGGGGGAACAGTTAGAAATCTTGCAGAACGTGTGGCTCACTCTGGAACTATTTTTTTTTTTTTTTCAGTCTCCCGAACAACAATCACATCAGAAAGATTTCCAGAAATGCTTTTGAAGGCCTTGAAGATTTGGTCTGTCTGTAAGTATCTGTAAGTTGTAAGAAAAAAACAATGGGTTATGGTAGTGATGAATTAGTTTTGGCTTTTTGTTGGTTTTTACGAGAGTAATTTTTCACATTCTTGAAGTCACTGTTGCCTTTTTCACAGAAATCACATTTGCACATTTCTCAGTAAAGTGAACTGGGCTTTCTTTGGATTGTGCTTTTGAAAACGTTTGAAAATTTATGTACATCTCTCTACCTCCATCCTTGCCATAAAAATCCAAAATGGAAGGAAAATAAAAGCACGAGTCCATCCAATATTTCTCTTTCACATTTCATTAACAAGTAATTGTAAAAAATTCCATACGTCCAAAGGAAGCTTTCTGTCAACACTCAGCCATCCAGGACCTTCTGGAGCCAGTGAGCGCTCTAATTAGGAACTGTAATGAATTTGGCTTAGAACCAAATTTTGGGAAGTTTAGCTCACAAACATAACCACTGATGTTGCTAAGCATTTCGCGTATTATTGGTGAATGGGGCGAAGGGGTTTTAAACAACTGACAGTCTTGAGGCATGTTGGTAAATGGAATACTGGGTGGTCATGATTGGTCATGCTGGGGGAAGGCTGATGGAAGGAACTGCAGGGTGTTTGTTTGGTTCAAGAAGCTTAAGGCAGTTAATGTTTTTGCACAAATATCTTCATTTGTGGATTCATTAAGCACTCTATTCAAAAAGTTAAATGTACTTTTAATATATTTTTTGCTGTAAGTCACGTATGCTTGCCAGTGAGAGAGAGAGAGAGACAGAGAGAAAGAGAGATAAATCAACACCATGATGCAATCCTTTCTCCATTGTCCCCTTGGAATTTTGGACATGCATACACATGTGCCTGGCACGATTTTTAAGCCACCAAAGTCTAGACTTGAATCATGCAGTCAGCCATGTGGAATCCAGTGGCTTAACCACAGTACCTGCTGACCTGAAATTTACTTTTTAAAGAGAAGATGCTACCTCTGTCTTTTCCTCTGATTGGATGCCCACAATCGTAGCATCTTCTTGAAGCACTAGAATTCCTACTATACTCCAGCTCAAGAGTCTCAGAGCCCCTTCCCTTCCGCTCAGGTGCCTCGGGCTCCCACAAGGCCTCCCAGGACCGTTCTCATGGCTCAGTCCTGCAGTCTTAGGCTCCTCTAGAATCAGTCCGCTCCGTTTGGTATCAGCATCGATAACCAATCCAACAGGCCTGCAGGGGCAAGCCGTCTTGATTTCAGGCTTGCATGTCATGAAGGACCCTTGGAACTTCTAGAGTGGTGCTGTGGAGTCTGCTCTTTGGTATGAAGCAGCTTGAATTTTTTTTTTTTTCTTTTTAAGAAAAAGCTTACTTATTTATTTCAAGAGAGAGTGCGAGAGAGTGAGAGTGAGAGAGAGAAGCACCTTGATGGGGTCCCCACGCTGCAGCACACCCCAGCCTGACTCACAGACACGCACATGCCCAGCACATGCAGGAAGAACTTGGGACCAAGCGTGGACCCTGTCTGTGTGGCAGCAGGCTGGCAGAGCCCCACGCCACTGCGGTGAGACGCTCATAAACAGCAGACTGGAATATTTACAGCTGTGTAACGATGGCTCAGAGACAATTTCATCGCGAGTGCTAATATCCAATAAGGATGCTCTTTGGTATGAAGCAGCTTGAATTTTTTTTTTTTCTTTTTAAGAAAAAGCTTACTTATTTATTTCAAGAGAGAGTGCGAGAGAGTGAGAGTGAGAGAGAGAAGCACCTTGATGGGGTCCCCACGCTGCAGCACACCCCAGCCTGACTCACAGACACGCACATGCCCAGCACATGCAGGAAGAACTTGGGACCAAGCGTGGACCCTGTCTGTGTGGCAGCAGGCTGGCAGAGCCCCACGCCACTGCGGTGAGACGCTCATAAACAGCAGACTGGAATATTTACAGCTGTGTAACGATGGCTCAGAGACAATTTCATCGCGAGTGCTAATATCCAATAAGGAAATTTAACACGATGACAGATACTGGCGTGGACTTAATTTTGGATAAGACGAATGCTCACCATGGCTGAGGCTGGGATCAATTTCACGCGCAAGTGCACCGTGAGCTTGAGGAAGAACAAGGAAACATTTCTCAAAACTCCCAGCCAGGGCTCTGACCAGCTCCAACACTGCTTGTTAATCGAAAGGGAAAAGTCGCCGGGCTCTGCAAGCTATGCGATTAGGAGTGGGCAGGGTAGCTTGTAACGTGGTAAGCCGTCAGAGTGGCCATCACGTGGCCACCACAGTCAATCTTCCCAGGTTTCTGGTTACATTGCCACTGCGGCGTTGCCTCTCAAACCAGGGACTGCAGAGACAGCTGGTAGCGACTCAAAGCCCCATTCAGTGCGGACACCTGTGGCTTCCTCGTCCGCCTGTCTTTCGTGCTGTTTGACGCTGGACTCACTGTTCCTCCATTTCCCCATCTCAGGAAGCTTGCTCTCCACCCCAGTCACACATATGCTGCTGCCCGCTTTTTCCTTGGCTGTTGGTTTTTGCATCTTGTCTTGGCATTTTAAAAATGATTACTTATTGGGAACCAGCAGTTAGCGTAATGGCTATGTCGCTGGACTCCCATGTAGTCGACCGCGGTTCGCGTCCCGGACCCGGTGGCTTGAAACTCACGCCGGGCGCGTGTGCGTGCGTGCCTGAGATCCCGAGAGGAGAATGGAGGAGAAGGGATTGTGGCATGACCACCCCCCTGGGGGGTGATTTCTCGCTTTCTGTCTCTATGTCTCTCTCTGTCTGTCTGGCGAGCGCACACGCCCTACAGTGAAAATCTCTCTCAAAAAAAAAAAAAAAAAGATTACTTATTTATTCCTTCCATGAGCAAGAGAGAAAGAGAGGCAGCACCCCCAGTAGAGCCCTGCTGATGTGACCCATCCCCAGCCTCAACTGGCCCTGAGCCCAGGCTCCGTGTGTACCCAGAGTCCTCCCTCACAGAACACCGCATTTCATGGCTGTGCCGTGGCCATCTTTAACCTCACCGTCTCCGCGAATCACCGTCCGTCACCCACACCTCTTCTTCCGTTGTCATTTCCTTCTCTCCCGTGGAGCCCTGTTTGTCCCACTGCATAGATTGCAGAGGTTTTTATTTCTTTTTTTTTTGGAGAGGTTTTCGCTATAGGGCGCGTGCGCTCGCCAGACAGACAGAGAGAGACATAGAGACAGAAAGCGAGAAATCACCCCCCAGGGGGGATGGTCACGCCGCAATCCCTTCTCCTCCTTTCTCCTCTCGGGATCTTGGGCACGCACGCACACGCGCCCGGCGTGAGATTTAAGCCACCGGGTCCGAGACGCGAACCGCGGTCGACTACGTGGGAGTCCAGTGACATAGCCATTACGCTAACTGCTGGTTCCCGAGGTTTTTATTTCTTAGCCATTTGCTAACATGTTTGCTTCCCGACCTCCCTGCTGGGTCCTCTGAAGGCCAGTGGCTGTGCTCTCTGTCCCACCGCCTACTCCGCACCTAGAACCAGCGTCCAGAACACAGTAACTGCTCATCGGTATTTGCCCAACAGATGTGTAAGATGCTCGATAAATGCTTGATATTTAGTGATGAGTACTCTTAGTTATGGCAAGTTAATTATTCTTTTTTCTTTTTAGAGAGAGGTTTTTGTTACAGGGCACATGCACTTGCTGGAGACACAGAGAGAGGCAGAGAGAGAAAAAGCAAGAAAGCACCCCCCAGGAGAATGGCCATGCCACAGTCCTTTCTCCACCATTTTCTCCTGGGGTTTTGGGCATACACACACATGTTCCCAGTGTGAGTTTCAAGCCCCTGGGTCTGGGACTCGAACTGTGGTTGGCCATGTGGGAGTCCAGCACTGTAACCACTATCCCACCTGCTGCCCAAGTTAATTAGCCTTAAGAGGGAAGAATGACCGCACTATGAAGCGCCTTCGCTATTTCAGCAGCATGTGTTTATTCATTATTTACACCGTGCATTTCCCTGGGGGTTTCAAGTGCTTAGATGACACACAGTTGCTATGGTGCTCGCATACTCAGCAGGTTATTTTTCATTAGACTAAGCGTACCTAGGAATCTCAGCTTTACTCCGCCTAACACAAAGGATAGAATACATTTTTGTCTAAGACAAAAACATTTCTGACCTCATCTGAAATTCTAACGTGTTTTGGTCCAAAATATATCGTTCATTCCCTGGGGCAAAAACAAATGGAAACATCTTAGGATGAGTTTTGCTTTCAGATTCGGAAGGAAAAGTACAATGGCTGGAAAATATCCCTGCTAACTGCAGGTCCTTCAAGGTCAGCCGAATTTGGAGTGCAGGACTGAGCACACAGTGCTCCCGCTCTGCGGGCTGGCGGTCAGCTCCTCTGAGGAGCAGCATTCCCGAGATTCGCGATTTCTGCCCAAAACGGAGTTCACCTAATGATACATTCCTAAGTACAATTTATTCAGAAACATCTCTGCACCAAGTGATGCTGCTCTTTCTCAGGGGCAGTGCTAACTGCACAAGTTGCATGAAACATCGTCCCTGGTCTGAAAACTTGCAAGTCTGTGCACACGGACACAGAGTGGGCACCGCTGGCTGGTGTTCGACAGGGAACTCTCTCCCACTTTCGGATATGTGATTCTCTCTGTGGCTCTGGTTTCCATCTCCCGGGTTTAGTTTGTGGTCTCAATTATAGTGGCTTCTTCCTCTAGCCTAGGTCTGGGCGTCCTTGTCCTGTCACCAAATGCTGCTTCTGCTGGACCCCCAGCCTTCTCGGACTGTCTGAATGTGTCACTTGGTGGGGTCTCAGCACAGACCTCATCCAGGTCTCTGGTTTCCTTGACCTTAGTGGGAGTCCTCCATTCCTTCCGCAACCTATGGCTACGAAGGTATTCCCTTATTTTTGAAATACAGTGGTGCCCTCTGGACTCTGTGTGCTGCTCTTCTTCGATCTGATGACCGCAATGGCTGCAAGTGACTTCCATGCAAGTAGCACATGTGGTGTGGACGAAGGGCTGATTCACGTGCCCATGGATGGAGTGGGGCGTTCTGAGATTCCAGCACATCACTCAGAACAGCGTGCATCGAGACTCATGAATTGCTTATTTCTGGAATTTTCCATGTGGTATTTTCAGACCAGAGTTGACCACAGGTAACTGAAGCCATGGAAGGTGAAACTGTAGATAAGGGGGAAGTCTGAGGCTTTTAATAATGTCACCTTGAGGTTCACGACCCTGACCCACCCTGGCTACACTCACTTCCTGAGTTTTAACAACGATCCTTCAACATGGCGAGAGTTCCCTGTAGTTCTTCCTTATTCAGTTAGCTTCTGCTGTGTGCAAACCATGCAGAACCTAACAAGAAGGAGTTCCTATTCCTCATGATGGGTGGCCGGGTGGTTCTGCTCTGGGCTGACGCTGTGGGGCTGGGAGGTCGAGCATGGCTTTGTTCTCGTATCTGACTACCGCGTCGTGTCGGCTGGCGTGTCCTTCTCTTCCACACTTGGCCTGTCTCCAGTCACCTATAATGACTGGGTGGGAGGGGCCTGGGTGGAGCATGCTAAGGAGCTGGCAGCTTTGACAAGGGCCAAATGACAGGGAAGAGGTGGGTCACGCTGGCCCCTGGCTTTCGATACTGACCCCTTATGTCTGCTCACCGCACACCAGCCTCCATTCCTGCCGTCCACTGGCAGTTCCTTAGTGAAGGCCACTCACGTTGCTAAGAACATGAAGCCGTTCCCTTAGGGGCCTTGCTGGGTGCTGGCCCTCTGACCTCGCTGGCCTCAGTGGCACCACCCAGTTCCCGTCTGCCTTGGGCTTAGCCCGCTCACGCTCCGTCGCCCTGTCCTCTCCCTCACCTCGCCTGTCCCCATCACCCTCCCTGAGGCTGAGCCAGCGTGACCCGACTGGACACGGCTGGCTCTCAGCCCGACCTCACTGCGGCCTGATGTCTCCCCCCCACACACTCAGCTCAGGAGTGCAAGCCCGACGGGCTTAAGTCAGCTTTGTATCTTTCTCCTTTCAAGCCACTCCTTACTTTCCCTTCAGACATGCTTTTCTTTTTAAAGTTTATTTATTCATTAGAGAGAGACAGAGAGCAAGCAACGGCCACACCTAGCAGGGTCCCCACAGGCGATCCGGCCTGGGCCAGGCTGTCACGGGCACGCATGTGCAAGGCATGCACAGGGCGGCCCGAGGACACGAGCCCACGACCTGCCCGTGTGCGTCCAGTGTGGCTGTGACTGCACCGCTGCCCAGCCCCGACACGCTTCTTCCTTCAGGAAATAGCAAGGGCGGACTCGGTCATCCACACCAAGCGTCCAGACACCACGCTGGCCTCCACATGCCCCTGCGGCCAGTCAGCGGTCAGGTCCTGGGGGCTCTGTGCGAGCATCGTCCCTGTGCCCCCCGTGCCTGTCCCCACCCCATCACCTTGTGCTCCTCGTTGTCCGTCACCCTTATGATGACAAGACCTAGTTTCCGTCCAAAGCCTTTCTGAATCTTCGAAGGGTCACCGGTCATCGCTATAAAACAGACTCGGTCCAGCCACTCTTCCTAGGGCCGTTACATGGCGGCTGCGCTGGGCGTAAGAACAACCCCATGGACGCCACGCACAAGATTCCGCTTCACTCACCTTTCCAGCGGCCCTTTTCCCAGGGGTTGTTTAATGTTCTTTTCTCCTTCCTTTCCTTTCCTTCTCCCTTGCTTTGCCTCACCTCCCCTCTATCTCCCCTCCCCTCCCCTCTCCTCCCCTCCCTTCCCTTCCTCTCTCTCCTCTCCTCTCCTCTCCTCTCCTCCCTCTCCTCTCCTCTCTGCTCTTTTCCTTGTTTTTTTTTCCTTTCCTCTCCTCCCCTTTCCTTCTTTCCCTTCCCTCCCTTTCCCTTTCCCTTCCCTTCCCTTCCCTTCCCTTCCCTTCCCTTCCCTTCTCTTCCCTTCCCTTCCCTTTTCTTTCCTTCCCTTCCCTTCCCTTCCCTTCCCTTCCCTTAAAAAAATGGGATCACTGCAATTGTCTCCCCTCTATCTCCCCTCCCCTCCCCTCTCCTCCCCTCCCTTCCCTTCCTCTCTCTCCTCTCCTCTCCTCTCCTCTCCTCCCTCTCCTCTCCTCTCTGCTCTTTTCCTTGTTTTTTTTTCCTTTCCTCTCCTCCCCTTTCCTTCTTTCCCTTCCCTCCCTTTCCCTTTCCCTTCCCTTCCCTTTCCTTTTCTTTCCTTCTCTTCCCTTCCCTTCCCTTTCCTTTTCTTTCCTTTCCTTTTTACTCTCTTTTTCTCCTTCCCTTCCCTTCTTTCTCTCTTTTTAAAGGTTTTTATTTTAGGGCTCATGCATTCATCGGAGAGAGACAGAGAGAGTCAGAGACAGTGAGAGGGAAAGTGAAGAATCACTCTGCCCCCAAGAGAGGATGACCATGCCATAACCTCTTCTCCATTTTCCTCCCAGGATTTTGGGCATGCTCGCACACATGTCCAGAGTGATCTTCAAGCCACCAGGTCTGGTACTCAAACTGCAGTGGGCCATGTGGGAGTCCAGTGACGTAATTGCCATGCCATCTGCTGGCCCCCCTTTTCTCTCTCTCTCTTTCTTTCTCTCTTCCTTCCTTTCTTTCTTTCTCTCTTTCTTTCTCTCTCTTTTCTTTCTTTTTCTCTCTTTCTTTCCTTCTTATTTCATTTTTTCTCTTTCTTTTCCTTCCCTTCCATGAGTGAGAAAACAGAGTGGCAGAGAGAGACAAGCAGCCCCAACAAAGTCCCAACACTAACTGACCTCCAGCCTCGGCCTCAGCCAGCCCTGGATCCTGGGCTGGTGTGTGCCAGTGTACTCAGGGAGGTCTCTAGGTGTGAACCCACACCTTCCTGTGTGGGTCAGCCTTGCAGAGCATCACATAACACTGTCCAGTCCCGCTTCTTCCGCTGTCTTCCCCATCGCCTCCCTAAACTCTGTGCTTGGAAGCTCCTGATGGGTGGCATTTGAAACCCTCTGCACTGCTACTTCGGTGGCCTTTTTGCTAGTGGTGGATTATGCTGGAGGACTGTGCCCTCTTGTGAACTCTTTCATTTTTTCTGTGACTGATTCTCAGATCACATGACGGATCTATTGCTCGTTGTCACCTACCGTGCTGATACATCATTCCTGATGTGTGAGGCCTTGCAGCTGGGAACGGTGAGCACGGAATGATTAACTTCCAAGACAGCAACGTGGAAGAGCCAGTGTGGAGACCAGAGGGAGCCAGCAGTCTCAGGCCTCCCACTATGAAGAGAGCGCACCCACCCACACCTTCCTGTGTGGGTCAGCCTTGCAGAGCATCACATAACACTGTCCAGTCCCGCTTCTTCCGCTGTCTTCCCCATCGCCTCCCTAAACTCTGTGCTTGGAAGCTCCTGATGGGTGGCATTTGAAACCCTCTGCACTGCTACTTCGGTGGCCTTTTTGCTAGTGGTGGATTATGCTGGAGGACTGTGCCCTCTTGTGAACTCTTTCATTTTTTCTGTGACTGATTCTCAGATCACATGACGGATCTATTGCTCGTTGTCACCTACCGTGCTGATACATCATTCCTGATGTGTGAGGCCTTGCAGCTGGGAACGGTGAGCACGGAATGATTAACTTCCAAGACAGCAACGTGGAAGAGCCAGTGTGGAGACCAGAGGGAGCCAGCAGTCTCAGGCCTCCCACTATGAAGAGAGCGCACCCTGATGAATGGCTGGAGGGTCTGGTCTGCTCAGTCGGTTTACTACTGGGGGCATGGCCGCATCAAGCCGTCGTAACTCAGTGAGAACAAGCGTTGACAGTGCTCAGCTCTGCATCCATCTTCACCCAGCGTCTTATTGCCGTCTGAATCCCACAGAGAGTGGCCACCAGGAAAAGAATGTGCTAACAACCCGAGAAGAACAGTCTGGTCTTCAAGGAAGAGATTGTGTAGAATTGGTGCCAAATTCTTCTTTAGTAAAATTCCCCAGTGGGTGACCTAGACCTAGGGCTGTCTTTTAAGAGGGTTTCAGTGATGGCTTTAACTTCCTTAATGGGGATAGCTACTCTGCTGATCTGTTTCCCGGGGAGCTGAGGGAGCTGCTGCTCTGTGAGGAGCCGGGCTGCCTCCCTGGGCTGTCAAGTTCATGTGGGTAGGTTTATTTGTATTGCACTGTGATTCGAACTTTATTACTCCTCAGTCTGGTTTTTGTGTCTCGGGTTTGTTCTTTGTCAGTTGATTTTGGCAATTTTCAATGTTATTAACTGAGATTTGTCAAGTTTATTCATCTTTTCCAGTCAGCTCTTTTTTTTTTTTTTTTTTGGTGGAGGGGTTTCTGATTTTCTCTGTTGTTTTTGTTTTGAATTTCATTGATTTCTGCTCGTTTCTGTTATTTCCTTTCTTCTTGCTTTGAGTTTCTTTTTCTCTTTTATTCTAGACTTGAGGGAGTTGCTTTGATTACTGACTTGAGCCTTCTCATCCTGTGCAGTGGAAGCATGTCACATGTTAAAACTCTCTCCCCGCGCTGATACCTGTGTCCCACGGATTCTGACATGTTGTATTTTCACTTTCCTCAGTTCCGTGTATGTACTTTTAGTTTTTTTCTGATGTTCTCTTTGACTTAGGGATTATATGTAGGTATGTTGGCTGGTTTCCAAATGTTTAGATATTTTCCTGCTATTGTTCTGCTCTGGATTCCACTGTGGTCAGAAAGTAACTATATTTTTTCAGTTTTTTGAAATGGTTGAATATTGTTTTATGACCCAGGACATAATCTGCCTTAACATGTGTCCTACGGTAACCTTAAGTGGGTATGGATTCTGATGGGGGTGGAGTATTTTATAAACATGAATTAGATGCTGTTTTTCATGATGTCATTGAGTTCTTCTAGATCCTGGCTCATTTTCTGTCTAGATCTCCTCCTCCTCCTCCTTCTTCTTTTTTTAACAGACATTTTTGCTATAGGGTGTGTGTGCTCGCTGGAGAGAGAGAGAGAAAGTGAAAAATCACCCCGGGGGTGATGACCACACCATGATCCCTCTCCTCCACTCTTCTCTTGGGATTTTGAGCACGCACACATATGCACCTGGTGTGAGTCTCGAGCCGCTAGGTCCAGAGCTCAAACCATGGTCAGCCACGTGGCAATCTACGGCCTTAACCACTACACTACCTGCTGGCCCCCTGTCTAGGTTTTCTTTCTTTTTTTTTATTTGGAGAAGTTTTTGCTATAGGGCATGTGCGCTCACCAGACAGACAGAGAGAGACAGAGAGACAGAAAGCAAGAAATCACCCCCCAGGGGGGATGGCCAGGCTGCAATCCCTTCTCCTCCATCCTCCTCTCAGGATCTGGGGCACACACGCACACGAGCCTGGCATGTGTTTAAGTTTTTTTTTCCAGGACTCGAACCACGGTCAACTACATGGGAGTCCAGTGACATAGCCTTTATGCTAACTGCTGGTCCTAAGGTTTTCTACCAATTATTGAGAAAGGGGTGTTGACATCATTAGCTATATTATAAATATAATCGTTATATATAACTACATATGAGCACCAACTGTGGATTTAACTATTTCTCCTGTCAGTTCGGTCAGTTTTGCTTCATGTGTTTTGTAGTTCCGTGTCTGGTGCATGCATTGGGCTGTCATGTCTTCCTGGCAAGTGACCTGTTTATCCTTAGATGATATCTCCTGTCACAGTACAATATTTCATCACAGAATCATGTTTTGGTGGGACCAGCAGTAGTGTCATGGCTATGTTGCTGAACTCCCATGTAGCCGACCATGGTTCGAGTCTCAGACCTGGTGGCTTAAACTCACGCCAGGCATGTGTGCATGCATGCCCAAGATCCTGAGAGGAGAAGGGATTGTAGTGTGGCCATTTCCCCTGGGGGGGTGATTTCTCACTTTCTGTTTCTGTCTCTCTCTGTCTTTCTGGCAAGTGCATGCGCCCTATAGCAAAAAAAAAAAAAAAAGAATCATGTTTTGGTCAACAATGAACTGAATATAAGGTAATACAAACTCCTGTTCTGTTGTAACTCCGTGGCACAGGTCACTTTGTGCTGACGTTGGTGGGCTGCCAGCTGTGTACAAGTTCGCACGTGCAGTTACGCACCGTACACATTCGACCGTCGATGTCGTAACAGACGACTGTGCCCCGGTCTGCGTAGTTACTACGCTATGCTGCTGCCGAGATTCGGGGCGCTCCCCAGGTCACTGAGATAGGTCACGGCCCCCGCGCTGGCCCGCGACATCGCCTGTCCACCAGGGCTCTCGACCGCACCGTTCTCTCTCCTGCCTGGCTGTGCTCACGGCGGCCCTTCCAGGGGGCAAGACGCAGAGGCGGAAGGCGGTAGTACTGAGGATCTTGACCCGGGGTCAATTTAGGCTCATGTATATGTTTGTGTCTAAGTTTTTAACAACAATATTTACAAAGAAACGTAAAAAGTAAGCAGATAAAAACTTGCAGAATAAGCATTTGAGAGAGGGAATATTGTGGCCAGCTGTTTAATATATGTGTGTTT